TATAATTTGATGTGATTACAAAGTGCACTGCAAGTACGCTACAAGTGCACATTCAGTACAATTAAGTGCACTTCTTTTTCAGAAGGTGTTCTATCTTTCTTTATCACTTTTGCCGATATTGCTTCACCTGCAGTTGGCTACACAAAACAATAAGGAAAAAAACAAAGGGGAATTCTAGCAAGCTGTGGGTTTTGGAGTTTGCTGATTGAATGCATCCCCTTGCTCCTGCTTCTCACAGTAGAGAAGGACAGTCTTATCATGCATGACACAAACCAAAGCCCTCACACAATCCACATGTGCTTTCAGAAGAACATGCAGTGTGTGTGATGTGCCTCTGCTTCAAGACTGCCTTAAAGGAACAGTCACCCCCTCAAATCAAATCAGTGAAAATCAAAATTGATTAATCTTTCATTTATTTTGCAGCTAAAATTACTTGTGCGTTTATTACATTATTCTATGCATTTATTCTGTGCAGTTTTGAACTGACTAAATAAATAACAAAATGGACTTAAATTGATAAAGCCGCATAAATAGAATAGAGCCACACTGCATAACAGGATTAGGTTTAGGTGTGATCTCGCGGTTGTCCTGCAGGTGACTGCACGAGACTGTCTGCTTGGCACTACATACAAAACGACTCTCAACAACTACTAACGTTACGATTGTTGTTTTTTAAACAGTCCGTAATGATTCATACGATCGTTTCTATAGTAGCCTACGATATTGTACAAACACAGCCTTGCTAAGTAGCCTATTGTTTAGCCGAAAATAAAATACAAATGCAACCATCTCCTTAATGCATTAGCACATTGAAATTAAATTACTACGTACATTTTAAATATTAGTTCACCAGTTACGACATGCTTTACTGTAGCTATTTGTTTTGTTATAAAAACAAGTTACTGCAATTATTATCTGCTATTGTATTTGTTATCTGCTAGCTACTAAATAGGCTAAAGCAAGTCCAATATAGGCGTTTAGTTTTTATTAATTTGCTTAAGTATATAAATATAGGTTATTGCTCCTGGTAAGAAGGAACAAATTCAGATGTTGTTCTCATACCTATTTAAACAAACATAGTTTCCCCCACCCCTTTTTAATTTTACCTCGTATATTGTTAATTGTTCCATATTTAACAATTGTTATTGTTAAATATGGAAACGCTGAGCGCTGTTCTCGTTCTTTCGAATGGTCGAAGGAATAAAATGAAATGCCTTGTAAATGCACGTATAAATGTACTGATACTTTTACATCAGCACTGTGTTAACAAGGGCAACGAGCTCTCTGTCGTGAGTCCAAAGCTTTTCCTCGCATTATTATCAACCATCAGCGTTCGTTACACTCTTGCTCTGTTTCGCTTTGCTTTTATACAAACACTCTATGGTTATTTTAAGCGAGACAAGTGCTTCCACAGCTGTAAAAATACATAAATTACAGTGTACAAAACAATCGAATCAGCATTTTAATCAACATTAAAATTCATAGGGCCTATTTATTAATATATTTTATTTATAGGCTATTCATAAAAATTTGATTTGTATATTAACTCTCTCTCTCTCTCTCTCTCTCTCTCTCTCACTCTCTCTCTCTCTCTTTCTTTCCCGAAAGCTCTTCCCATTTCAATTACAAGGAAGTCACACTTGGATGTGAAATGTGACCCCACACATCTAAATCCTCTCAGATCGCTTTGAAACCTTTTTCTCCTTCTGAACTGACCAAAACCGTATTCTATGTCCTCGAAGTCTTTTACATTGCATCGGAGAAACATGTTTATTTATTGGTGTGCCTAATGGCGTGTAAAGTGTTTGCACGTTTTCAGATGGCAACATTAACTTGTGATTAGAGTTGAGTGGTAATGTTTAAAGTGAAGAGGAAAAGCACGAGTCAAACTATAAACTAACATTTCTTCTCAGTGAGAAATGACAATCCTGCACTCTAAAAAATGCTGGGTTAAAAAGGGACAAACCCAGCTATTGGGTTGTGGGCTGTTTTGACCCAGCTATTGGGTCGTTTTGACCCAGCTATTGGGTCGTTTTGACCCAGCTATTGGGTCGTTTTGACCCAGCTATTGGGTCGTTTTGACCCAGCTATTGGGTCGTTTTGACCCAGCTATTGGGTCGTTTTGACCCAGCTATTGGGTCGTTTTGACCCAGCTATTGGGTCGTTTTGACCCAGCTATTGGGTCGTTTTGACCCAGCTATTGGGTCGTTTTGACCCAGCTATTGGGTCGTTTTGACCCAGCTATTGGGTCGTTTTGACCCAGCTATTGGGTCGTTTTGACCCAGCTATTGGGTCGTTTTGACCCAGCTATTGGGTCGTTTTGACCCAGCTATTGGGTCGTTTTGACCCAGCTATTGGGTCGTTTTGACCCAGCTATTGGGTCGTTTTGACCCAGCTATTGGGTCGTTTTGACCCAGCTATTGGGTCGTTTTGACCCAGCTATTGGGTCGTTTTGACCCAGCTATTGGGTCGTTTTGACCCAGCTATTGGGTCGTTTTGACCCAGCTATTGGGTCGTTTTGACCCAGCTATTGGGTCGTTTTGACCCAGCTATTGGGTCGTTTTGACCCAGCTATTGGGTCGTTTTGACCCAGCTATTGGGTCGTTTTGACCCAGCTATTGGGTCGTTTTGACCCAGCTATTGGGTCGTTTTGACCCAGCTATTGGGTCGTTTTGACCCAGCTATTGGGTCGTTTTGACCCAGCTATTGGGTCGTTTTGACCCAGCTATTGGGTCGTTTTGACCCAGCTATTGGGTCGTTTTGACCCAGCTATTGGGTCGTTTTGACCCAGCTATTGGGTCGTTTTGACCCAGCTATTGGGTCGTTTTGACCCAGCTATTGGGGTGTTTTGAATAGCTGGGTCAAAACACCCCACAACCCAATAGCTGGGTGAAAACATCCCAACCGCTGGGTCAAAACATCCCAATAGCTGGTTCAAAACAACCCACAACCCAATAGCTGGGTTAAAACATCCCAACCGCTGGGTCAAAACAATGCAATAGCTGGGTTTGTCCCTTTTTAACCCAGCATTTTTTAGAGTGTGAAGAACAACTTGATGAATAGTTTGATAAATTGTGTGTATTTTAAGTAATTCCGTTTAAGATATAGGTCAGTAAAGGTTGAATACAATAAAAATAGGATGTGAACCAATTAAAATGTAAGAAAGTATATTCCACGTCGTTATCTTATCAATAGGCAACCGTTTTCTAGCCGAACAGTGAAATAAAAGCTACTACGGTTATAAATGTATTAGCCCACAAACACACACTTGTTAGTCTTTTACAACATGAACACAATCATAAATACTATTGAGCAGCAACACATATAACTAGCCTATACAATCTAAATTACTCAAGACACATTTCAGTTTTTCTCACATGGTTTACATCACCTTTGTCCGGGTGTCAAATGTTTTCATTTTAGACCCCCTTTTCTCTTCTTTTTTCTTTTTTTTTGGACAGCTCATAATTTTATGGCCGTGTGTTTTAGATGTTTTCATATCATAAAAGCTGATAGGAGACATCCTGAAATAATTTGGTATAGGCGATATTAGTTTTATCTCTGTCCAATTTCTTCTTGAAAACTGGCTCCTAGATGAAATGCTTTGAAAGTCCAGGTGAAATCCTGGTCCTGGTCTTCCGTGCAGAAGACAGGGATACTTCAAATGCAGCCATACGTAATTTATGTAATTTAACAGCACATTTTAATTGGACTTTGATATACTGTATATATATATATCCAATTAAAATACTCTCTCTCTCTCTCTCTCTATATATCTATATCTATAGGCCTATTACAATATTTAATGTGCTACTCTAAAATAATCATGTCTAATTTTTCATTTCGTCTTGCGTCGATGGCTGTTCCATGTGTACAGTTCACAATATATATATATATATATATATAAAACAATTAAATTTTCGATTATTATAGCATTCGTTGTATTAATAATATATAAAATGTGATTGCATATAATCTGTCTAAAAATGTAACCTACGTTTAAAACATGCATATACCCCATAAAATCGAAAATGATCCTATTACGAACATGATCTTTGTCTTGTTCGCACTGTAGACATTGTTCCTTGTTTTGAATCAGCTGATAATCGAATGTCGCGTGCGTGTGTGTAGACTAATATATAACATTATGTACAGAGATTGCAATAATAATGTTTTGTTAAATTTATGCTAAAAACTGGTAGTTTTGTTTGCCATCATATCATAAAAATACAGTGACACTGTATTACTGCACGGTATTTTAGTCACAGTATATTTTACAGTTCATGTCATTAACTCATAAAATAGTATACAAATGCTTTCGGGCTTTTCTTTTATATGTGAAAGGAAATTAAAACGTGGCAAAACGGAAGGCCACATAAGAATTAAAGTTCATGATAATTAGCTCCTGTTTACAATAAAAAAGACAAATGCAAAAATAGCACTAAACTAAACAGCATACATGTATTACCAACACCAATCTTAGGAAAACAAAAATAAGAACAACTTGAACTTGAAATAAAATCGAATCAAATCTGATGGCGCGCACAAGGAATTTGGGGGATTCCCGTTTCCAGCCGGCATTTGTATTCCTGAAAAAAAAAGAAAGAAAGAAAAAGTTTAACAAAAGCCTAATTTACCTTAAAAATAGCTATGCATGATTGCTAGTTAAATGCAATAGGCTTATGTGTATTTTATCCGCAAGTGATGAACTAAATCATATTTTACTTTTCTTACAACATTTCTTACAACAGTAAATGTATACGTGTTGTCTTTTTAAATTGCATGCCAGTTTTACACTTTGTATTTAGAGTGCATGCAGGCCTATACTAATAGGTTGAATGGCGTTCATTCGTGGAGCGCTCTGAATTGGAGCATCACCAAGGCAGTCTCGAGACCGTGGGAGGGTGATCATCATGATCATAAATGTGACGTCAACATCGCAACCTTTAGCAGCCTGCGAGGCTGGAGGGTTCAGAGAATCTGGCCAGGTAGAGGAGCCGTCAGGTTATAGGGAAACCTGGGTCTTAGGAGCCAAGATCAATTGTTTGGGTGCATATTATGCACTGGAGTCATCCGGCGGAAAAATGTACGTGAGCTATCTCTTGGAGAAGGACACCAGTATGTACCCGAATTCCGTAAGACACCCAAGCCTAAACCTGAACCCTCAGAATTTTGTCCCCGCACCTCCTCAGTATCCAGACTTCACAGGATACCATCACGTCTCTGGAATTACCAGCGACCCTCACCACAGCCAGCCAGGGGCCTGGAATCCCGCGTACCCTCCTCCGCGAGAGGAATGGACACCTTACGGGCCGGGAACTGGAGCTTCGACCTCTGGTCCGCTGGGCTTCAGTCCTGCAGAGTTTTCATCCGTTCAAGCGCCTGGCCTTCTTCCATCCTCCATAAACACATCAGTCGGTCAGCTGTCGCCCAACTCTCAGAGACGGAACCCCTACGACTGGATGCGTCGGAGCGCGCCGCCGTCCAACTCAGGTGCGTTTTTGAAATCTATAAATCAAATGATTGTGTTTTGAAAAATACTTTATAATAATCATTATAGAGACTATGAACTATCGTGATCGCAAAGGAAAAGGAAAATGATAAAAAAAATAAAAATATATATAAAGGAACAGGGGGAGCGCGGGGCACAAAGTAACGCGGGGTTAGATGGTTTAAATATTTCGACACATGCTAGCATAACCAAATTTACAGCATTTACTAGTTACTATATCAACATTATATAGAGAAAAAAAGTGTGCCAAAATTCAAATTCGCTGAACATTTATTTTACCATAGTAAAATTATATTTCTGGCTTAAGTACATTTTTCATCTCAGTTGTTATTACTCATTTCATGCTATTATTTTAATCTCCAATCTGTTATTTATCAGTTTCAATTATTTTTGTAATGCTTCGCTAACTATCAGAAGACAGTACCCGGTTTTAAATTCCAGTTGCGCAGATGGGGCACGATGTAACACTGCGTTACACTATGACATTAGCGATGTGATTCACACTATTTACTTTAATACATTTTAATGATAAACGACGAGAA